AGATGTGTGAATGTGCATCGAGCACTGCATGGACCGTCAGGTTAGGAAAGAGAGCAATCACACACTGCAAACACACGAAACATCCGTCCTGAATCGAAGACATGAACAAAAAAAGGTGCGCTTCCAGCGCGTTAAGAATGCACATGAAGCATGCTGCGCCGACAAGGAAACGTGAAACAACATCGCGGAAACCTAACTTTAATAATCCGCTCCTACAATGTATTGCAAACATTGCCTCGCACCGTCAAATGTACACTGCGAACTGCCAAACTAAATGAACAAGCAAAGGCCACCGACGAGCGAAGTTGCATCTACCACCCTGCCAGTGGACAGCCGAAAACGGAGGGCATCTACACACACGACAGACACGCTGTGCTCGTGCGGAACGAAGGGAGAGACCAACAACAATCTGTGTCGCGATGCGCCGTCACCTTTCCCGCCGTCCACGTGCCATCACAAGCGACAAGCAAACCAAGGAAATCTAGCACAACACCACCCCTCCACCCCCTACGCGTCGTTTTCGCCATTGTCGTCAYCGTCCTCCTCCAAGGGGCCCGAACCCAACCAATCCCTCTTCTTCGCGTCCTCTGGCCCCGTGATGCTCGCGTCGTGGCCGAAYGTGATGCCGCAGGGAGCCCAATCGGGGATGTACTTCRRGTACTCTCCTAAGGTGGCGTTCGCCTTCCCCAGTCTCTCCGTGACGACGTTCGTCGCTCGGATGACGGACCTCCGATGATCGAAGGCGCGATGTATRGACGCGATCAGCGTGGGCTTCGCGACCAGCTGCGYGAAGTAGAAGGCTTCGTAGTGGCAACGATGATCGTCTCCCGCCATGCGCATCAACCACATGCAGGCAGCCAACAACAGCCTGAAGCAATCCGCGATCCTCAACAGACGATCGTGCGATATGAACCCGCCGTCGACGTTGCCACCCATGTGCACGGCGGAGTGAAATGCATGCGCGACTACCGGAAAGCGAGATTGTATCCGCAGGGGCGGTTCCCTGACTTGAACACCCACCCATGCAAGACACGCAAAACTATGTTCTTTGCAGCCCCCCCGCGGATGATCGCATGCTGTAGTTGAGCGGGATCAGCAATCCTCGTGAGGGTCGTCGCGGATTTCGGCATGACGACGCTCCTGGACACGACGGGCGCTTGCACCCCGCTGTCGATGGCCTCGAAGTGCTCCCGCGTTCGGTGGACGATGTCTTAGAGCCAGCGCCCCTCCGCCGTTGTCCAGAACGGTTTGTTGTCGACCCACAGGCGGGCGCGGTCGGCAAGATCTCTCGCCAACCCTCCCCTCCGCTCCCGGCTTAAAAGGGGGTCGTCGTCCTCTCTTTCGCACTTATTCTCGCCGCGCGCAACCTCCCGCTCCACAACAGGAACCTCCTCTCTCGCCCCCGCCACGACAGCGACATTGCCCGAGGACCCCTCGCCTGCACCAGCGCTCGCCACGCGCGCTTCTTGCTGGGCCACCTCGCCTCCCCCGCGCTCGGTAGACCCTCCATCTGCAGCCGTGTTGCGTGGTCGCGGCTGTGACGGCGTGGACGGCATGGCGCCTTGAGGTGGCCTTTCTTCATGCGCGGCGTGTATCCTTACTCCCGTCGCCGTGGCACCTTGCATTGCATTTCGATGCCTGCGGCTTTCCAATGGCTCATTGTCCTTGTCGCCGACGTCGATGACAACCTCCTTAGCTATTGTGTTGCTTTGCCGACAACCTTGTTGCCCCTCCGGGGGGGGCGTGAGCAATCTCCTCGACGCGGCCTGATCATTCTTCGCTTGAAGACAGCTGCCCCGGGGTGCCGCCACGATGTTATCTGCTACTTCCTCCTCTGTCGTGAACTTGTCGTCATCTTCGTCTTCGTTCGATGCCGCCCAATACCGCCCTCGCCGGACAGGCGCGCTTGGTGATGGCTCTTCTGAACAGAGCCTCTTCGGCTTGGGGACATGCCGCCGACCCCCTGCCCGCCTCTGGGTGTCAGCAGGGACGTTCTCCCGCTTCTTGCCACGGCCAACGCCTCGCGTAGACATGATTCCCGTGCACTAGTGTCGCAGTGGTTGGCGAGAGCGCTCCGCGGCGAG